ACCCGGCACAAGCTATTGTCTGCCAAGGACTTGACCCTGAATGATGCAGTCACAATTTGCCGGGCGGAGGAAGCGGCTACCACGACGAGCAGCAGTATCCCGTCCACCAGCCAGCTCAATGCTGTGCGGCGGTCCGCATACCAACGCAGTAAGCAACAATCCCGACAGGGACAGCCTGGCAGCAAGATGTCTGCACCTGTATTGCCATCTGCATCCGCTCCCTCTTCAGGAAGCGACACACACAAGAAGTGCCCCAATTGCGGCCGGAGCCCGCACACAAAGTCTAGTTGCCCTGCCAGCGGCAAGAAATGTAATGGCTGTGGCAAGACTGGTCACTTTCTCGCTATGTGTAGGTCGTCGTCACAATCGGACCGGAACTTGAAGCATGTGGGCCAACTGAAGTTGCAGCGTACTCGTCTTGCTGCGCAGCCTACAGTGCGTGTGTCCACCCGTTTAGCCACTGAGGATGAGGCAGTCACGCTACCCTGGGTCCCTGATACTGGCAGTGACGTCGATGCCATTGGCGAGCATCATCTCGAACTGCTTGGCGGGTTCCCCGAGAACCTCGACCATGACCCAGAGTGTGTCCTAGCGGCATCTGGAGAGCAGTTGCAGAACGTCGGCAGTATTCGTGCTTTACTTCAGGTTGGCGAAGTACAACACAGCACCGTAATCCACGTGTACAAGGGTCTGGACGATGCTCTTCTGTCATGTTCGTCCTTGAGTGCACTCCAGCTCCTCCCGTCAGATTGGCCTGCACAGTACCCTGCTGCTAATGCTGCCGCGCTACCTAAGATCTGTGCTGTATCAAAGCCTGTTGTCAATCCTAGCTCTGCTGATATCGCTCATGTTCGCGATGAGCTACTGCAGGAGTTCTCGGACGTATTTTCCGACACTGGCTTGAAGGCGATGGCAGGTCCTCCGATGGACATCCAACTTCAGCCAGATGCTAAGCCGTCATGTGTCCATACCGCACGCCCGATTCCGTACGCGTTTCGTGACCAGGTCAAGTCACAACTGGACACAATGGTTGTCGATGGCATAATCGAGCCTGTCAGTGAGCCTAGTGAATGGTGTCACCCGATTGTGCTCGTCGACAAGAAAGGTACCACTGAGAAACGCCTCACCGTCGATTTCAAACGACTGAATGACCAAGTCCTGAGACCAGCCCACCCTGTTCGCACCGCTCGCGATGTGGTTTCTGGTATTGGATCGGCACAATTCCTCACCAAGCTTGACGCAAGGCACGGATACTGGCAAATCCCACTGAGTGAGCAGGCATGTCCAATGACCACATTCATCACCCCATACGGCAGGTATCGTTTCCTACGCAACCCTCAAGGCCTGATTTCCGCCGGGGATGTTTTCAACTGCCGCACTGATGCTGCGTTCGATGCAATCCCGAATTTCGCCAAGGTTGTAGATGATTGCCTGGCCTATGATGACGACTTTGCCTCCCATGTCACCCATGTTCGTGACATCCTGCTGTGTGCTCGACAGCATGGCATTACTCTGAGCCCGTCCAAATTCACCTTTGCGTCACGTCACATCCATTTCTGCGGCTACATTGTCAGTCCAGACGGCTGGGTTGTTGACGATGACAAGGCAGCGGCTATTCGCGATTTTGACATTCCTGCGAACCGCACTGATTTGCGTTCGTTTCTTGGCCTGGTGAACCAGTGTAGCGAGTTCTCACCACACCTCGCCGCCTGCACCACTCCGCTTCGTGGTCTGTTGAAGACGACCCGTGAGTTTGTCTGGGATGCCAACCACACTGTTGCGTTCGAGAAGACCAAGTCTACTCTGCTGTCCCCTCCTATCCTGGCCTTCTACCAGCATGGACACGACCTCCGTCTGGAGACTGATGCCTCTGCACTACGTGGTCTCGGCTTCGTTCTGTGGCAGAAGCAGGATGATAAGTGGCGAATCATCCAGTGTGGCTCCCGCTACCTCTCTGACGCTGAATCTCGCTATGCTGTTGTTGAGCTCGAGATGCTCGCAGTCGTTTGGGCTGTGCACAAGTGCAAGTTGTACTTATCCGG